AGCACTCACAAATTGTGGTGCAATCAAACTTACAATAAACAGAAGATAAGTACAGCAAAACCTTATTAACAATAAATAACTAAACAAACTAAACTATAAAGACCTAAATAATGATATAAATCATTAATTAAAAACAAAATTAAACTTAAAAGTTGAGTTAATAGGCTAAAATTAACATACAGTAAGCTTGACTCCTAAAAAAGTGTATCGTACAGGCCCTTTTACAGAGATCTCAGGGAGAGCAACAACACACGAAAATGGTAATACTGTATTGGTCATTAAAATGATAAATAAATACAAAAATTATCAAAAAAAAAAAAAAGTAGACGATTTACTACCTAATGAAACAGAATCCCCCTCTAAACTATATTGCAACTTATTATCAATGTTTGCTGTTGAATACAAGTTCCATGTGTCATAATCGTTAGAAAGCATAAGTTTGTTTAAACACATCCGCGTTGCCATTCACAATAACCGTAGGCCCATTGGAAAATTGCCAGAAAGGCCTATACAGTAATACGCACATGTGTTCCCAATATCACAAGGGCTACATACTTTTCATAGCCATATTATTATTAACTTATTTATTTATTAAGTTTATTATATATAGTTTTTCAGGTATATAAATTACAATCGACAACGAACAACAGAATTTGATTGCATTACAATATATAAAACATATAAATACGTCATTTAGGTGAAAAAAGAAGACATTGATTGCGACACTGTACATTAAAATTGAAAATTACCAAAAGAAAACTAAAGAGTTGCAAATAAAATAGTTATTGTTTGCTATTGAAAAAATATATATTCTATATATCAAAACAATAAATCCTTGTTAAAAGAAAAAAAATTGATTACTGTAAAAGGAATAGCAAAATCATCAGTAGTAAAGTTGTTCATGGTAAGAGTCCGTATTTTTACTTACAGTTTCAAGGGAAACATTCACCGACAAAACTTCACTGACTGAGATTATTATGTTACTACAATGTTTATATGGTAACGTTTAGTCAGTATAAAAGTGGATACGCTCCCGTGCATGGACATTGTATGATGGGTCGCATGGCAATTTTATGATGGGTCACATGGAATTTTAAGATGGATCCAGTAGTATAGCCCCCACCCCCGTTCCGCAACCTTTTTAGACCACCACCCAAATTACATGTTAAGTACTCTGAACTCGACCCATCGAACTCGAAGACAATAAATCACGTCCACCGTTTTATATGCGCGAGGGATAGGCCTAGCTGGTATTAGAAGATACTACCCACTTGATTCTTTTGGCAAAAGATTCTATCACCAACAAAATCAATTTAATACCCATAAAAATTTAAAAATATAACTTTGAATTACTAATTTAACAAAACTAAGTAAGGTATCAAATTTTTTAATATGTTAAAGGTTTGTAAAAATGAATGATTTGACATTTTACTATACAAGAAATCCTACATTTGCTGCTTAAAATCTGTGGGTGATGTGAAGACATAGACACATTTTGAAAACTTTTCAGCTGAAAGCGAAACACAGTTGAAATGAACACCAGGTTGTCATACCTGAAGTACAAATGTTTTGATAGTGTATTTTTTAACATGAAACTTTGATAACGCACGCATTACACGACGCACATGCCACATTTTAATTACAGTTTCGTTTACTGTAATTTCGTTTTTCCTCGTTCGCATTAAGTAAGGTTTTCACGATATGAAAATGTTATGCGACCCATCAAAAGTTTTCCACGACCCAAGCATTGGGTCGCGACCCATAGGTTGCGGAACGATGGTATAGCCTATATTCTTTTTCATGTAAATCTGTGGATTACGTGATATCCTGTTAGATCTTAAAGCAAAGAATGTGTCATTTAATTGGCCCTTCTCCAGTAGGATACATTTTTTACACTTTTATTATAATAAATATTATAAGTCAATCGTGACGTCATCACTGCAGCTCCAATGTTATTTGCCTATCCCCCACAGTCCACTAATTTATATATATGATAAATTGAAATAATAAAGATATTTTGAAACACAAACAAACATACATAAACACATACACGCACACATACATGCATACAAACAAACATACATACCGGTCTCTTATACACATCT